TGCTTCATGGACTTTATTACTATTTTCATTATTATTTTAACTTTTAATTATTTATTTTTAATTTATAAGTTTATATGTATTTTTCAATTTTATTCTTGTTTTAATAAATTCTTTTTTTATTTTTATAATTTTTATATTATTTTTTTAATTTAATAATTTTACTTTTTATGAAATAGTGCAAATTGAATTCAAAATTATCAAATAGTTTGTTTTAGGAGTAAAATAGTAAAATCATAGAGTTTCAGATCCCGAAGGTTCGATCCAATACAAACAACCTTATCTATTCAAAGCCTCTATAAAATAAAAAGCATTATGTCTCTTTTCAGATTTCAGACACTTTTAATATCTTTTTAACTTTTCATATTTCAGATTTATCGAACACCACCTTAGTAAGTAAGTTAAGAGGCCAATCGGCCCAAATATCAACAGTTAACACATATTAGGTTTACCGTGGGTTAGCCTCAACGAAACTCCGATTAAGACTGATCGAACCCTAACCTGATAAGGTTTGGTCAATGCAGGTTTACCCCCATAACCCAAACTACTGCCATCCCTACTTGTGGATAAACGTCGAACGGCCTAAGCACCTGAGATTCATCATTTATAAGTTAACCTAGATCAACGCCCAACTGTGTCAAAGTGAAACCACAATGTTAATACTGCAGAGCATATACGGCTGCATCTAGAGGTTATTATATATGACGAAGAAGAAACTGAGATTCATTGAAAAACACGGAGACAAGGAAATGACCACCAACAAAGACAAATCAAACACCACAAAGCTTAAAAAGACAGAAAGAAAAAACTTTTAATAAGCACAGTGAAACAACAACCAAACTAAAGAAAAACAGAAATGGACTAAGAACCAGCTAACAGAGCATTATCACTGTCCAACCGTGTCTGGATTGGCTGCATTCGACCTTATATCTAGCTAAAATAGGAGAGGATTAATTGAGAGGTAGATCCCTTGGCAGTTGCCAACGGTTTATATCAACATTTTTAACTCATAGCCAAACTGGCTCGTTGGAACAGCCAACCAGTGTAACAAAATATATATTCATATATGCGTACTTACATACTTATATATAAAGATATATTCATTTTTTTCTATAATTTTTTTAAATTTTTTTTTTATATTTATTCTATGGTTTACCTAGGGGTGGATTCGAGCCGACTCGTGCCGAATAGCTAGTTATTCGAGCTCGGCTCGCCAAGGCAATACATGGTTCGAGCTTAGTTCGAGTAAAAAACTCGTAAGTTCAAGCTCGGCTCGACTCAAGTTCGATTTAAGAAAAATGTTTTATAAAAATAATATATATATATATATAATAATTTTTATTTGATATTTAAAAATTAAGAATTATAATATATATAATATTTTTATTATATGTTATTTTCTATAATTTTATATTATTATTGTATGTATATATGTATGCATGTATGGGCTCAAACTCAACTCAACTTGAATCTCGAATGAAATCAAACCAAGCTCAAATAACTTGTAAAAAGCTCGACTTTTAACCACCCCTAGATTTATCTATTTTCCTTTAATATCATTTTACCTGAATGACTGAATCATTAATCTATTAACTCGACTGAAAGCACTTAGCTGTTTTGCAGGATAATTCGAAATCCATTTAATATGAACATACCAGTTTGCATTTATAATAAATTCCAAGGCATCACATCAATTTATTTTATTTGTTTTGAACGCTAGTGTATTTGCATCGCATAAGACAAATTTTCATTCACTGATCCAATCCGAACTCGCATGGAAATGTTTTAATCCACTTGAGTGAACCGTACTGTCCCAATAAAGCTTCGCTTTTACGTATGGATGCAAATGTAACGGCGAACACCAGCACTATTGTAGGGTGGGTCTGATTTAAAATTATAATGCAAAATATTAATGATTTTTGTCTCATGACTCGGATTGTATGTCCTCACGTAGGGTAGGAGGGGGCGTCCCAACTACTAAATTTGAGCCCAAAAAAAAACATTAGGGAAGTTCCGAGTTCGTACAAATATGTGCATGATGAAAGCAAGAAATGAATCACATAAAAGATTTAAACAATGGCTTTATTTCTTACGAGAAAATTGTCGATTGTTGAATTTAGGTTCTCTTTCCCACCCAAAAGATATATAAAATAAAGAAGAATTTAGATTTAGAACTCTCTGTCTTGAACCGCCACAGATTATTGGATCTGGACCCACTTTTCCGGGGTCCCATATTAAAAATTTGCTACACTAAAGATAAGCATGATTAGAAGATGCCAATTATATAGACTCTTGGATGAATGGTGACAGAGCAATATTAAAATAAATTATTATTTAGGATAAGTTTGAGTGTGTTAAATTAAAAGTTAAAAATAAGTGATCATTCAAATAAGCACTTATTTTGTCTGGAATGGCATAATAAGTATTTATTTGTGTTCGGGAAATAAGCATGAAAATAAATGTTTATTCGAGGAATTCAAAATTTAGATTTATTTTTAAGCGTTTATTTTCTTTTTGGCCTGTCTTGTTGAAAATACCTATACTATTCCTGTTTGAAACAAGTGTTTTTTCACAAAATGCTCATGAAAGTTTATTATGACAAACACTTGTTTTTCAAATAAATACTCCCAATCTCTGCCTTAATCTTGATGATTGATTTCCCACACATCTTATTGATCATTTTAAAGGAGACCAATCCAATGTGAGCCACTTCATTTCTAGTTATACATTACTCATACACCATGGATTATTCCAATTCCAACTATTTGATTGGATGGAATCAGAATCTCATTCCCATTCCTGCTGGAATGACATTCCCCCATCATTTCTTGTACTTTTTTGTGAAATAAAATCTCATTCCTGCTTATTCCAATTTCTATCTGTTCATATTCCTGTCTAAATCAAACAAACTATGGGAATATACAATTCCAATTCCCATTCCAACTACAAACCAAATAGACCCTTAGAATTTGATCATAAAATAAAATACATTTTATAAGCAGCAATTCAGAGCACGATTCCCTTTATCTTCTCTGTACAATGGCAACCACATACCCTTCTTTATCACCCCCGTCTCCTCCTCTCCTGTATGGGTGTAGAGCTTCAACCACTCCTCTAATTGGTCCTTCATTTGCCACAAGAGTCACTTTTAAGGGTCTATTGATGATAAGGAAGAAACGTGGTAGGGCCCCAATCTCTAGTTTCTAACTTCATGTAGAAAGGACTAACTCAAGTTTGAAACTTCCTCCAACGACATAACACCAGACTAGCTAGCTTCTCCCAGCAAGCAATCCCACGAAATATGGGTTACTTCAGATGGAATTGATGGAATATAAAAGAAGACATTAATTAGGTAAGCTGTGAAATCAAGCATAACGAACTAAGTTCAACGGAGTAGAGAAGACCAATCAGTAGTTCCTAGTGCTCGGAGTCAGGGCCGTCCTTTAATTAAAAATTCTGTCTTCATGTATCTGATGTTCTGTCGCGAGCATGACTGGGAAAGTGACTGCTTTGTCTCTTTCCATAGCGTGAGCTATTATATTACTTGGTGTTTCAATTACCGTGTACATATTGTATGACTGAATATCAAGGAAACAATTAGACAAATAGAAATTTCAACACGTCCAATCGCAACTAATCATTTTACGAGTTAAACGACTCCATGCATGCAAATGAAGATAGACTCGTCATCATCTAAACTCTTATCCCAATTATAAATGGTCGGTTACGTAATCCTGTGTTTGTTTCTTTTCAGTGATATATCCAATTATTAAATTATGAATGCTTAAATCCTTTGTTAATTCCCCCACCCAAGACGTTTTCTTTTTTTTTTACGAAGAGAACTAATTTCAAATTTAGACTCTAAGACCTGTGATCATTTGCCGGTATTTATGTGAGGGGTGGGGGTAAGTTGGTTAATTGGTAAATTGACCATAATACTTGTGTTCAGTTGCTGCTATATTGGGTTCTATTGTAAATAAGAATATTTTTAACGCTTCGTTCTCTTTTGAGTAAGTTATTTATTCCAATAAATACATTTATTCAAGAAAATAAACTTTTTTTAGTCTTTACATAAATAAATCTGAAAAACAAAAACATAGGATTCTAATCAAAATCTCATTAACCAATTTTCCCCTCTCAAAATCAAGAAATAGATGTCCTGTAAATATCAGCTGCCCAGGTAACTGATTCATACCCGATACCCTCTTATGAGGCTAAACAACTTTCCCGTGCACTTGTTGAAGCCAATAAGCGCTATCTCCCTCTCACCTTTCTTTCGCAAGATAATTAGTAGGGTACAAGAACACTGGAAACTTGCTTATCGGGACAAATTTTACTTGGGAAACTTTTGTGGTAAATGTATTTCCTTGGGCAAGTATAGATGAATGAGGCCTAAGAGAAATATTGTCAAAAGTGAATAAACACCTTAGTTGTATCCCAACCACCCACACGTTATCATCTAGTACAAACACGAGTGTGTGAATCAGAGGCTACTTGACCCATCATGAGCCGACGATAGTGTTTCATACACATGGAGTCCCACATGTTCACTCATGATTGGCCATGTATAGTTTGGTGCAACAGATTACGTATGCCTATTCTAATTATATGGCATCAACTACATGAATCCTCTTTATCACCATTCAATTCTGTTTAATCATTTTTTATCAATTTGACCTATATCCTTTTTTGTCTATTCTTAACCCTTTTTAATCCTTTTAAATTGCAACATATGGCTTTACCTGATGCAAAATCATCCATTTTTTTCTTTGGTTACAATGCAAACTAATTTACACTGATGCAAAACCATGGCAATGCAAATGATTTGAATGTAAATTTTGGCATACTTTTGTTTCAAATTTTAGCTTAATTTGTTTGATTGCAATACAAATGAAATAAATTAAGACATGAAGCAAAATAAAGTAAAATCCAAAATAAAATTAAACAAGAATTTGCATTTTTTATATTTGCACTCTCATACATTTGTACTAGTGCAAATAAAATTGCACTGCAACCAAACACAGCCTATATATAGACGGCGGAAGAAAGGAATCCCACAACATATTATGCTTTACTTAAAAAAAAAAAAAACGAAAAGAAAGAAAGAAATACATATTATGCTTTACATTGATACATTCCAATAACAAGTAGCCAAAATAAGAGCAATCAAGTTAGAATGCTCCCTAACGGCTTCCTAATTACTAAGCATTTTCACATCATCGACCACAGAGTATATATCTATTTTCTTTTTCTTTTTCTTTTTCTTTTTAAGCATGTGAGAAAACACAATGCAGAGATTAATTATATATCTACATTTACATAATTTGAATCCAAATTCCCTTGCTCGGAACTTCCTGATGAACCACAAACAGAAGATAATAGCCCGAAGGTGAAAGTAAACCTGATTTGGGCATCAACGTCTCGACGTCATACACTGGCCCCGACACCGGCGTCACCCTTGCGGCATCCAGAACCAGTAGCCTTTGATTCATGGAGAATGAATGGGTTGTGAATGATGGAGCCACCATTGTTATCGACACCCGGCTGCTATCAAATGCGCCCGGAACAGAGATCCGAACTCTCAGTCGTTGCCCATACTTGAGCTTAACTTGAGATAACGGATAGATAATCCTTGGGCGTACATTCAAAAGGCCCGGATCCAAATAACCCGGTGAGAACGCCTCTAAGCTTAAGTCAGTTGGATAAAGGACGCCTGTGAAATTGTAGAATACATGAGGGTTGTTTCCTCCAACCAGAACCCGACCATCCCGGAGTAAGATTGCAGTGGAATGGTACATACGCGGTATCTTGGTGGGGTTTTGCACCTCGAATCTCGACCCAGATGGGTAATCGGGTTTGTAAAGCACCGGACTGTACACTGGGTCCCGGCCCATTTCCCACCCACCAGTCCCTGATGCAGCTCCATTGATTATCAAGATGTGGCCATTGGGAAGTATTGTCATGTCTCCCATGACCCTTGGTAGGGGCATTGTCTCCATGAACCAAGCTGGTTTCGGGTCAGTAATTTTGATTCTCCCACATGTGTTGAGAGCTTTAACGAAGTTACCTCTCTTCGCCTGAGCGTAAGAGCCTTTCAGCGCGCCACCGCATACCAGAACCTCAGCTTCAATGTATGGTCTCTGTGTGTGCTTCAGAGGGAGAAGAACTGAAGAACCGGTGCTGGGGTAGCACCTCGGATCACCCCCAGGTATTTGCGGGAACGTTTTCACAACTTTGTTCCTGTTATAGTCGAGTAGAATCGCTCGGTTGTTGGAGAAGATGAATAAGTTACCGTCAACGTTAAGATGAACAAATGGGTAGAGATTATTCTCTATCCCCGGATCATTAGTTTCCCACAGAAACGGCAGAGAGAAGAGCTTGTTAGTCGACGGGGATTTTGGGTAGAATTCATAATTGAATTCCCGACGTCCACCGATTACGATAGAGCGGCCGTCTGGTAATATATGGTTGGTTGCGTACCACCGCCGAGCAAGGAGTCCGGACCTATTCTCTTCCCAGTCACAACCATTGCACGGTGTGAACATTCTAACAGAACGTTCACCGTCGTTGAATCCACCAGTCTGGATGAGACGCCCGTCGGGTGCGACCACACCGGAAGAGCACCAGACGTCAGTTTGGACCATGAGAGGGCGAAACGAGTTGGTCGAAACATCGTATTCGGCGGAATGAGCGGTGCAGTCGACCGTGAGAACGGTGTCACTGGGGTCGGTCCGACACTTGCCCTGGGGCAAAGCTAGCTCTGACTTGCCGAAGTCAGTACGATCGAATATGACAACACGATCATTGTAAAGCAGTTGCATGTGCATGGCGGATATACCAATGCTTTTCTGTAGGAGTTCCCAGCTGCCTCGTCCGGCAGCAAGGGTCAGACTCCGTCGAGGTGTTGCTGCAAGGAAGAGCAGCAGCCAGACAAGCAAGGAGAAAAGCAAAGTACGAGTGGGCATAACGAATTAATGAACTTGATTTGTTATTACAGAAGCTGTGAATGTGGGTGGGTGCAGAGGAATGTTGTGTGGCTCCTCCCTTATATAATAATACTCGGGTTGGAAACACGTGCAGGAAACAAACTTAGAATTCAGAAACAAAACTTAAATGAATCGCATCTTCACTTGATTTCTTTTAATCTACAGTTGATTAACGTGTGGGTCTTGCTTCATTCCTTCAAATTAATTCTGTATTATAGACTAATAGACGGCTGAGGCTTTTGAAGTAGTAGTAGTTGTGGAGTTGGTGAATGATGAATCAACAGCACCAAGTAGCTGCTTGTATTTTGTATTTGTTAAGACGATTCGGGCGTCGTTTGCTCTGGCTTTATTAGTTTGTACTTCCCTTTCCACGCAGCCCCATCAGTATCACTTGATTGGGACAGGCTAGTCGTTTTTAAACTCAGTGCCAGGCAGCAGCCCAAATTGACTGTGAGACAGAGAGAGAGATGGGACGGGCCGGGTGTCTTGCCGGTTTGTCTTCACCTTACACAAATTAAGAATGCAGCAAGAACTTCAGAGAAAAAGATTATGGGTGGTTTATGTTGTTCTCACTTCTCACTTCTCGTCTGTATATCGACGGGATAAATCCCTCTCCCTCTCCGACTGGAACTGGAAGCATGTGTTTGGATGAATTAATTTGCAATGAAGAATGAAAGCACTAGCTAGGAGAACCATTAATATTCCACCGTTATTATCAAATTAATGTTATATCCTGCGACTCTAAGTCTTAGGGCCCTTTTGGTTTACAGGAATAGAGGTCTGAAATTGAAATCGAAATGGTCCAACTGTTTGATTGGATAGAATTGGAATCCTATTTTTATTTCAGTATCTCATTTGAGAAAATAATCATTCCCTCATTTGAGAAAATAATCATTCCCTCAAATCCCATTTCAGCTTATTCCAATTTTTATCTGAACTAAACAAATTATATAGGACTAAATCATTCTAATTCTGATTCTAAAAAATTTTGATTCCAATTCTAATTCTAATTTCAACTACAAACCCGGACCGTTAATTCTTCTTCGAAGGAATAAATCAAAATATGAAGAAATCAATACTAAAGTTAAGTGGGATCCACGCGTATACATGGAGAAAGAAAAAAGGCGAAGTTATTGATCAGAAGAACAAGAACATTTTGATAGATGATTAGAACAAGAACTGGTAGTCTCATCTCATACCACTGACTTTGATGGCTGGAGATATTCTTTTGGTGGATTTGTGACAACTGTAAAGATACTCTAGTTGGAGGCCTAATGGTCTATGCGGATGCAAAGAGCTGATGGCAAAATGTTTCTTGATTTCGTGGCGGGAAATTCCAACCAAGCTTTTTTCTTTGGGACCTAATATTCTTAATTAATCCACAAGGATCTTGGTTCAACCGGGTTGAATGAACGGGACTCGGTCTCTAAATCGGTTTGGGGTTAAGGTGCATCCTAATACTCCTAAATATTAGTAATTCTTAGAGCTCCATTGATTTTAAAAGAGGAAAAATTGGTTAATGGAACTTTGGTTTCTATTGATCAAGATACCTATATTCTTTTTTCAGATTTATGTAAGGTTTGAAGGAAATTTATCTTCCCTGATACCCATTCCTAGATGAATAAGTAGCTTTTTTATTTGGGGAAAAGTTGTCAATATTTAGATGAAACAAAATTACATCTTTTAATAATGGCTTTCTATGACTAAAACAATCGTTGTCTTATTTACTTGAAAGATAAAAAAATATTGACAGATGTACTTAAGTAAATAAATATTTCTCAAAAAATACTTACATTTACTTAAATAAATAATTTTCTCAAAAAATGAACAGTGCCTTAAAGAGAAATTGGAGGTGGTAATAGCCGTGGTGGTGGACCAAATTTAAATATCCAAAACCAACAGTTAAAATAATGAGTGCATAGAATCAAACCTCTTGGCTCTTTGCTTTTATGAAGAGAATATAAACATATGCTTTTTCGCCCCCCTCAATAATGCCAATATGAAGGGGAAGAAAAGTTAAAAAGTCAAGGGTTTTTTTTTTATTTTGGCTAAGCATCCAAACAAGTTAAATATATATTGTTTGATTGGAAGTGCTTTGTCTATACTTTTTTTGTATTTGTACAAGCATGAAAAGTGATCCACCACACTAGTTGCTCTTTTGAATCACAACCACGTAAGTTTGGGCCCTTCTTCACATTCAAACATGCTATTATATAAAAATCGTGGGCCTTATTATTATGATGGACTGTCTTACCTGGCTTCTTCCACCTGAAATAACACATTTTGTACGTGGACAAGTTATGGCAGAAATTTTGGCTGCACAGCTGGTGATTTCTCTTTCTCTCTCTAGACACGCAAGTCATTGTGAATTCCGTGTAAAACAGTGCTGACGGCATGGTTGAATGGACTAGCGAGTGCCATTAAGAGAATGTTTAGAGAGCACAGGCTGTCCAATGCTGACAGCGAATGCCAATGCTTTGCAAGGGCCAATAAAATACGGGAAATACTTGGCTCCTACCCAGTGAGAGGACCAGATGCATTTTTATCTATTAATTTTACGATTTACGATTTACGATTTAAAATTTCCGACCATGGGTTCTGCAGCAGAAACTCTGACGATGAGAATCCAATACAATCGGAATATTTTCCCATAAATTAAACATAAATATACGGGAGATATTCCTAATGTACCATTCGATGCTATATAAATAGAGCTTTTGCCTGCATGAGATTACTTGGATGCTTTCTCCAACCATAATCAGGAGCCAAGTAAATTTCATAAAATACTGACATGACCATTCGCTTTGAAAAATTTTGGCCTCTTTATCGACTGATTTAGGATCTACTGACCACAAAATATTGATGTACAGATTTATCTAGCCACACATCAGGAATACTGGTAATCCTTTACATTATTATAAAGATGTCCAATGTGCAATTATATGAACATGACCAGTAATTAGTACCTTCTATTCTGTGCCTAGTCCCACTTTGGTCCCTGAACTTTAAAATGCGATAATTCAATATCCGAATTTTTAAAACTTGACAATCCAATACCTGTCATTAATTAGTAGTTAATCTGCTATTAAGTGCCATTTGAAAAGGACATAAATGTCCTTCAAGTGTCATTTCATTTTCTTTATCAACCATCAAAACGTTGATAAAGGATTTGGGATTATTAATTTTTTTGTCAATGTTTGGATAGTTGATAAAGAAAATTAGATGACACTCCAAAGGCATTTGTATCTTTTTAAAGTATCACTTAACAACTGATTAACTTCTAGTTAACGACAGGTACTAAATTGTCATATTTTGAAATTTTGGATACTGGCATTTTAAAGTTTGGGGACCAAAGTGACACTAGATCCAAAGTACAGGATACTAATTACTCAAAAATTTTCCTTAATACATATTACCAAGCCTTGTAAACTGTCGTTTAACCTGATTACTCAACCACTCTCAAATGGTGCAGATGAGATAGGACAATACCTGTTTTTTAAATAGATTTAAGACATTACATCAATTAATTTTTATTTAAACAATGATATATTCTTATTTCATTGGGGTTGCATGCAACCAATGTTACAGCAGAATGTTCATTAGTTTTAAATTCTAAACACTAGAGAATCTGATTTTTTTTTTGTTTGATCACCAGAGTATCCATATTATATAAGGTTCCTAGATCCATCGACTACAAAAAAAAACAGTACATGTGCATATATCTACAGCCACACGTTATTATTTAGGATCAATCTATTTCCTTCTTTTTTTGGATTTTGAAATGAGGGAAAATTGGTTATTTTAGTTTTTATTGATCGAAATATTCATATTATTTGTTTTAAATTTATATAATATTTATGAAAATTTCTTTTTTTTTTCTGTTTTCTAAACGAATAACTTTTTCACTTGGAAGAAATTGCTTAACACTTATTACCTTTTAATAATGACATTTTATGAAAACGAGTTATTATTTATTTACCCCGATAAATAAGAAAACATAGATAAAGTAGCTTCTCACTGAATGTGCTACACTGTAGTGTGATATGCACACACAAGTAGTCAGCGTTTTGTGGGTAGCATATCCGCGCTCAAAATTAAATAACGTGGTGGTAATACTATAATAGTACTTTCATTTATTTTGCGTTTTGTAGGTAGCATACCCTCGAAAATAACGTGATGGTAATACTGTAATAGTACTTTCATTTATTTATTTTGTATGGTAGAATTAAAGTAGTTTGCTGTCGTCATCTTCATTACTTACACCTCAATCGTCTCCAGGGCAATGTTTACAATATGCTGATCGTACGTTAATTAGACGTAAGTACTGGGGTCATCAGAATCAGTGGGCCCCACGAGCCATGTGCACTTCCGTAGGATCATGTATAGTAACCTTTTCAAATACGTAAGTATGTACTTTAAAGCTGTTATCTGTGATATGTGGTCCAAAGAACATATTGATTGAGTGAGGTCTAAATGTGAATCGATGTAAAATTTAACTGTCAGTTTATGTTTCTATTGATTTTTATATCGTTAATCAATATAAATGATTCAATTAGTGATGCATTTTCACTTAAAATTTTCAACGGCCTAAATAATTTTAAACAAATGAACTTTTTTCCATTGATTGACTTTTTACATGATGGATAAGTGCAAGAAAACCATATTATCATTAGGATCCATATCCGAATTTAGATAATAAAAGTAATGGGGCCATACCATAAAAAATGGGTTTATTTTCATGCGTAGGGCTAGTTTGATCAAGTTGTAGAGGGAGGACCACAAGCTGCCATATAATAATATGAGTTTTAAAATATTGTTGCGTCAAGGATACATCACGACACGTGGAATGGAGTGCGGTCCCTATGTTCATTCTAGTTGACCCCAACTTTAGTTGCATTGAGAGAGACAAATAATAAAACAAATGGGGGAAAGGCATATTCCAGTGTCACATGGTGACATGGGGTGGCAGGGAGACACGTAGCACTATTATATACTTCGACAGTTTCAACATTTTCCAACTTTCTACTAAAGCCCTGTTTGTTCTCTTTACAA